CGACCAGTTTTTCAACATCAAATTTATTTATGTTTCAAGAGCCGTTTCAAGAGCCGCCGATTCGTTTATGTTGTCGTAATAATTTTATTGTTTATTAAAAGTACAAAAAAGATGATGCCAATTTGTTCACATCTGTTAGGTCAGTGTATGTGTCTTATAAAGTAGAACCCCTCCATTAAGGCTCCCCTTTTAATGGACACTCTAATTAAACACTTTTTGGACATGAAGTGAGAGAAATGTATCTTTTAACACTACGACCAACCCCTATTTAGGGTACTCCCCCCTATTAAGTAGACACTTTTTTGTTCCCGAAGGTGTCCCCTTAAAAGGAGTTGTACTGTATGTGTAACTGGCTAAGCACATCATTTACAACCATTCAACAGAAGGATATTTCAGGATGTGTACACTTTTATCAGGATCAGTGAGATTATTGTAGGGTGCAGCGGGAAAGGGTTTTGTTTCCCAACCTTGTGGTCAGGGTTTCGATCCCTCGCTGTGCATTTCGCTTGTGTTCTTAAACAAGGCACTTTATCTACATTGTTTCTCTCCACCCAGGAGTATAAATGGAAACCTGGTGGGGTCGCCTGCTCCTGCACTGATTACAGCAGCAACACTTAAGCATGTAGATCCCATGACCGGGGACACAAAATTGCTTCGTATCTGCAAAGAAAAGTGCTATATAAATAACAGAATATTATTATATTATATTGATACAGCTATACCACTATAAATTGTAATATTGGATTTAAATATGTTTTTTTTTTTTTTTGTGGAACTTATTTTTGTTGCAGCATGGAGAAAAGTGAATAAGTCTCTGCCAAGATCGAACCCTGCCTACTTTCTTTATGAATATGCTGTTCCTGAACACCTCTTCCAAGAGCATTCTAAGTATGTTTATACCTACTCCCTTCAAGTTTAGATTTCTCACCTTCCACTTAATAACCATGCAAAGATTACACTCTACGGTGAATAGTGACATTCGTTTACACTTGAAGAATTGAGATATTTTTTCAAATTTCCATCTCATAATCAGTCTGCCAAAATCATTGATAATTCAACAACATGATTAAATTTTGATTAAACCTAAATAAATTTACCAACGTTTCGGAAATAATTTCTGCCTTTACCTCCATCTGTAGTGAGCTGTATGCCGACTTGTCAGCCCCAGACATTGAAGGTGTATATGAAACGCAGCTAGGCCTGGATTTCAGGGCCTTAGTGAGATTAGGATGTGTGTGTATGGTTAGTAGGCAATATGCAAGGTACTTGGCTGGAAAGGTATGTTACTACTATTGTTATCTGTTTATAACATCTCCCATTCTGTGGAGACACTACACATTCATGCATTAAACATTTCAAAATTTGTATAGTACTGCAAGTAAAAAACAACAGTTCTTTTGAGAACTATATACATGGTTTCCAGCATTTACCACATTATTACTTCGCCATCCAAACCTTCAAATAATATTTTACTGCAAGTAAACATATAAACAAAACTCTATCAAATTTTTTTAACAATTTTTGCTTTTCTGTCTTATTTGATTGACAGGAAGTAGATACGTTTGACCTGCAGCATCT